CAGTGCTGATGCACAGATAGTTGTCTCCGCCACACTCGTGATCGATCTTGGTGATGAAGTCGTCGTCACAGTTCAAGCCTTGCAGAAGTGCACCCAGTCATCGGCCAACTTATGGCTGTAGATGTTGATCTGGTGGTCACACAGGGCGAAGCAGTTTTCTGTGCGATACTTGTAGAGCACAGTGTCGGCGCAATCGTAATATCCACAGGTCCGCAGAGTCAGGTACAGCTTGTTGACCTTGTCATCGTAGCTGATATCGAAAGTGTCGCGCCATGTCTTGAGGGCATGGAAGCAGCACAGGTAGGTGTCGTCCTTGTATTGGTCTTGGAACTTGTGGACAAAAGTGTCGTCATAGCCCAGGTGTGTGCAGACCAGCTTCCAGTCAGCAATCTTGTGAGAGATGACACGAAGGGTGTCGTCACACAGAGCCAATCCTGGAAAAGGCCAGGAATTAGATGTAGATATAAAAAAATATATACATATCCTGCAAGCGTTCTTCATGATCAATTCTGCATGAGTGACAGTAAATGCTTAAATTAAATACCCTTGTCGGCAGTTGCTTCTTCATCAAGACTGCTACTCACCATAGGATTCGTAGCGGAAGTTGGACCTGCAGTCGACGGCAATGTCGTGGTAACCGCGGTTATCGCAAGCATGACAGAAGAGGTCAATCTTGTCGTCGTAGCTGCAGTCCACAGTGTCACGCCAGTGCTTGAGAGCAGTACTGATGCACAAGTAGTTGTCTCCGCCACACTCCAGCTCAATCTTGTTGATAAAGTCGTCGTCGCATTTCAGGTCAACACAGATGTACTTCCAGTCGTGGCTCAGCTTATGGCTGTACACATCAATCTGGCTGTCACACAGGGCAAAGCTGTGCTCGGTGCGATACTTGTGATACACGGTGTCTGCGCAATCATAATAGCCACAATCGTGCAGTGCCTTCCAGAAGATGTTGTATTTGTCATCATAGCTGGTATCAAAGGTGTCACGCCATGTCTTGAAGGCATGGAAGCAGCAGAGGTAGGTGTCGTCCTTGTATTGGTCTTGGAACTTGTGGACAAATGCGTCGTCACAGCCCAAGTGTGTGCAGACCAGCTTCCAGTCAGTAATCTTGTGACAGATGACACGAAGTGTGTCGTCACACAGAGCCAAACCTTCAAACGGGGGTAGGTAAGAACATGTTACAATCGCAAAGTTATACAAGATATTAAAATTTAAGCTATCTCATCGGGGGGAAGGTTGCTATATTAAACATCGCAGCGAATGAAAAGCAAGTAGACTGACCTGTGAACAGGACGCCTCCACTGACGTAATGGCCGGATGTTCCTCCTGTGCTGAAGACGCTTGATCCACCGGTAACTAAGAAAGCAACAAAACTAACACATTAGCGTTAAGTGAAATAACAAAAAAATGGAATCCGAAATGAGTGTAGAGACATAGCACCAAAATATGTGAAAGTTTTTGAAAATTGATAACCACCGAAGACTTCATTGCGATAATGATCTCTACAGTCCACGGCAATATCGTCGAAGCCACAGCTGTAACAAGCATTGCAGAAGTAGTCGATCTTGTCAGCGTAGCTGCAGTCCACGGTGTCGCGCCAGGTCTTGATAGCCGTACCGCAGCACAAGTAGTCGTCGTGGCCACACTCAACCTCTATCTTAGTGATGAAGTCGTCACTGCAGTCAAGGGCATGACAGAATGCCTTCCAATCGTGACTCAGGGTCTTGGAGTAGATGTCAATTTGGCCATCGCACAGAGCCACGCTGTGTTCAGTACGGTACTTTGCGTACACAGTGGTGGCGCAGTCTGTGTAGCCGCATGTACGCAAGGCAGTGCAGAGATGGTCGACCTTGTCGGAGTAGTCCACATGCCAAGTATCACGCCAAAGCTTGAGCATAGTGCCGCAGCACAAAACGTCGTCCGAGCCACACTCAGAGACGACCCTTATGATCATGTCGGAATCGCATCCAAGGGCGATACACACAGCTCTCCAGTCGGTGGAGATCTTGGCACAGATGATGTCGAAGGTGTGGTCACACAGTGCAAGTCCTAAGGACACAAAACATGTTACACAAGTACTTCTGGAACTTCAATTAACATTATGTCAACCTTCTAACACTTACAAAATGCGTATAGCTTGTTAACGGAAATAAATACATGATTACAATGGCAGTAAGTTGCAATGGAAGAGGCATACCTGTAACAGTTGAAGCACTGCCACTGACGGACTGGGTCGACACCACGGAGGACGTTTGATAGCTTGTCGAGACACTCGACGTCACTGTAATACGAAAGAAAAAAATCGATAGAAAATGTCTGTGTAAACTTGTAAAAATTCATGATAGAGCTGCGTGTTGTTAGAAGTTTAATAGTGGTCCTAGAAGTAGCAGTATACTAACCGTAGACTTCATGACGGAAGTTGTCTCTGCAGTCCACTGCGATATCGTGGTAGCCACAGGTGTCGCAAGCATGGCAGAAGAGATCGATCCTCTCCACGTAAGTGCAATCGACTGTGTCACGCCAGTGCTTGAGGGCAGTGCTGATGCACAGGTAGTTGTCATGGCCACATTCCAGGTTGATTTTGCTGATGAAGTTGTCATCGCAGCCCAAAGCTTTGCAGAACGCCTTCCAGTCAGCGCTCAACTTCTTGCTGTAAATATCGATCTGGCTGTCGCAAAACACTACGCTGCACTCAGTGCGGTGCTTGTTATCAACGATTCCAGCACAATCTGTGTAACCACAGGTACGCAGGGTCTGGCACAAGATGTTGACCTTGTCGTCGTAAGTGGCATCAAATGTATCACGCCAGGTTCTCAGTGCATGGAAGCAGCAGAGGTAGACGTCGTTGTGGTATTGATCCTCGAACCTATTGATGAAGGCGTAGTCACAGCCAAGTGTTGTGCAGACTACCTTCCAGTCTCCGATCTTGCCGCATATGAGACGTAGTGTGTCATCGCACAGAGCCAATCCTGAAAAAGATAGGAAAAATATAAATACTTTAAAAGGTAAAAAAGGTGTTCTAGAAATTCGAGTTGAAGATGTAACGGCCAGCCTGCATTATGTTTATATCACACTTAAATAGACAGTGAGTGTGAGTGAACAATATTTACATAGAACTAGCCATAGCTTTTTGAGAAGTACATACCGTAGGACTCAAAGCGGTAGTTGCTTCTGCAGTCCACTGCAATGTCGTCGAATCCACGGGCATAACAAGCGTGGCAGAAGAAATCAACCTTGTCGGCATAGCTACAGTCCACTGTGTTACGCCAGTGCTTCAGGGCAGTGCTGATGCACAGATAGTTGTCTCCACCACACTCGTGATCGATCTTGCTGATGAAGTCATCGTCACAGTTCAAAGCCTTGCAGAAGTGCACCCAGTCATCGGCCAACTTATGGCTGTAGATGTTGATCTGGTGGTCACACAGGGCGAAGCAGTTTTCTGTGCGATACTTGTAATACACAGTGTTGGCACAATCATCATATCCACAAGTGCGTAGTGTCAGGATCAGCTTGTTGACCTTGTCATCGTAGCTGATATCGAAGGTGTCACGCCATGTCTTGAGGGCATGGAAACAGCACAAGTAGGTGTCGTCCTTGTATTGGTCTTGGAACTTGTAGGACAAAAGCGTCATCACAGTCCAGGTGTGTGCAGACCAGCTTCCAGTCAGCAATCTTGTGAGAGATGACACGAAGGGTGTCGTCACACAAAGCCAATCCTGTAGCCAAGATAACAACATGCATTATTTTAATTGCTTGCATTTTCTTTAGGCATGATTTTCCTATATCACCCATGTTAACTAACCAATTATAGATAAACACATGATAATATGCACTTACCATACGACTCGTAGCGGAAGTTGGACCTGCAGACAACGGCAATGTCATGGTAACCGCGGTTATCACAAGCATGACAGAAGAGGTCAATCTTATCATCGTAGCTGCAGTCCACAGTGTCACGCCAGTGCTTAAGAGCAGTACTGATGCACAAGTAGTTGTCTCCGCCACACTCCAGCTCAATCTTGTTGATAAAGTCGTCGTCGCATTTCAGGTCAACACAGATGTACTTCCAGTCGTGGCTCAGCTTATGGCTGTACACATCAATCTGGCTGTCACACAGGGCAAAGCTGTGCTCGGTGCGATACTTGTGATACACGGTGTCGGCGCAATCGTAATATCCACAATCGTGCAGTGCCTTCCAGAAGATGTTGTATTTGTCATCGTAGCTGGTATCAAAGGTGTCACGCCATGTCTTGAAGGCATGGAAGCAGCAGAGGTAGGTGTCGTCCTTGTATTGGTCTTGGAACTTGTGGACAAATGCGTCGTCACAGCCCAAGTGTGTGCAGACCAGCTTCCAGTCAGCAATCTTGTGAGAGATGACACGAAGGGTGTCGTCACACAAAGCCAATCCTGTAGCCAAGATAACAACATGCATTATTTTAATTGCTTGCAATTTTCTTTAGGCATGATTTTCCTATATCACCCATGTTAACTAACCAATTATAGATAAACACATGATAATATGCACTTACCATACGACTCGTAGCGGAAGTTGGACCTGCAGACAACTGCAATGTCATGGTAACCGCGGTTATCACAAGCATGGCAGAAGAGGTCAATCTTGTCATCGTAGCTGCAGTCCACAGTGTCACGCCAGTGCTTGAGAGCAGTGCTGATGCACAGGTAGTTGTCACCGCCACACTCAAGGTCGATCTTGTTGATAAAGTCATCATCACACTTGAGAGCAACACAGAAGTTCTTCCAGTCATGGCTCAACTTCTGGCTGTACACATCGATCTGGCTGTCACACAAGGCAAAGCTGTGCTCAGTGCGATACTTGTGATACATGGTGTTGGCGCAGTCATAATATCCACAGGTGTGCAGTGTCTTCCACAGGATGTTAAACTTATCATCATAGCTGACATCGCAGGTGTCGCGCCATGTCTTGAGAGCATGGAAACAGCACGAGTAGATGTCGTCCTGGTATTTGTGTTGGATCTTGTAAACAAAATCGTCATCACAACCCAGGTGTCTGCAGACCAGCTTCCAGTCAGCAATCTTGTGACAGATGACACGAAGTGTGTCGTCGCACAGAGCCAAACCTACAAAGCAAAGAGAACACGTTAGATGAATACAGTCGGTAGGCTCAAAATACACAACTTGAGTTGTTGTTGTTTAAGCAATTTAGTACTTACCTGTCACCAGGACGCCTCCACTGACGTATTGGCCAGATGTTCCTCCTGTGGAGAAGCTGCTAGATCCAGCAGTGACTGCAAAACGAAACAGACTTACTTTTAATCAGCACATCAAAATAACATCATGTATGAGAACATTCTCATTTGAAACTTGTCAGTGAAGAAATAAATAAAATGAATGTATCTTACCAAATGTTTCCTTGTTGTAATTGTCTCTGCAGTCCACGGCAATGTCAGTAAAGCCACATGCATGACATGCACTACAGAAGTAGTCAATCTTGTCAGCATAGCTGCAGTCGACCGTGTCACGCCAGTGCTTGAGGGCAGTGCTGATGCACAGGTAGTTGTCATGACCACATTCCTGCTCGACTTTACTGATGAAGTCGTGATCGCAGCCCAAAGCTATGCAGAAGGCCTTCCAATCATGACTCATCTTATGGCTGTAGATATCAATTTGGCTGTCGCACAGGGCAAAGCTATGCTCGGTGCGATACTTGTTATATACAGTGTCAGCACAATGAGCATACCCACAGTTGCGCAGTGTTAGGCATAGATGGTTGACCTTGTCATCATAACTGCTGTCAAAGGTGTCTCTCCAGGTCTTCAGAGCATGGAAGCAGCACAGATAGGTGTCATCTCTGTACATCTGCTGGAACTTATAGACAAAAGCATCATCACAGCCCAGGTGTCTGCAGACCAGCTTCCAGTCATCAATCTTGTGACAGATGATGCGAAGAGTGTCGTCACACAGGGCCAATCCTGGATAGAGTTGAAGAATCAGTGTGTCGGATTAGTATAAAATTTACATCTTATTACAAACACAATTGTGTTACCAGTAAGACCAGGTCCACGTATTTTGACATGCTTGGGGTTAAAACACATAACATGAATTTCAATATTTCGGTTTCTTTTTGAGCCTAAAAACTTCACTTGTACATTTTACATGTAGACAATCGTCTTAAAACCATTTGCAGATGAGTCACAAATCTGTCAATGAAGACACGCACACACACACACTCACACACACACACACACACACTCACTCACACACACACACACACACACACACACACACACACACACACACACACACACACACACACACCACACACTCCTTGGGCCTGGGGCTGAAGTAATGACGTGTGCTTACCAATGGAAGATGTCACAGATGATTCCCCTCCAGTGCTGCTGGTCACAACATGGCTGACATAGCTTGAACCTGTGCCTGTGAAGCTGCTGCTACTGACAGTATGTGTCGTTGACAGGCTTGCCGTGACTGTGAGGACATAGTTTTCAGTGTCAAAACTGTATCAATTGTTTGAGTTCTCTGAATAATGAATCTCTTGGGGAGTTGTATGTGAACAAGTTGTAATCAGACCAAAACATGACAAACTTGAAGCTTTGAGGAGACCTCTTATTGGTAGAACACTTGAAAAAAAAATGACAGAAAACAACACTTACCGTACAATGTATAGTGGAAGTAAATTTCTATCTTACTCCAGCTGACACAAAAAATTTGATTGTCCCAAACACAGCTTTTAAATACTAGAAAATTAATAAAATTCCTGTTTTTAATATAACCGTCTTACATGTCAGTCTTTACAATATATTGATGCATAACTCACCATAGACTTCATGGCGGAAGTTATCCTTGCAATCGGTTGCGATGTCATGGTAACCACAGGTGGTACAAGCATAGCAGAAAATGTCAATCATCTCTGCATAGCTGCAGTCCACAGTGTCACGCCAGTGCTTCAAGGCTGTGCTGCAGCACAGGTAGTTGTCTGTACCACAGTCGTCCACAATCTTCTTGATAAAGTCGTCATCGCAGCCCAGATAGGTGCAGATGTCCTTCCACTTCCTTGACAGGGTCTTACTGTAGATGTGGATCTGACTGTCAGAGAGAACCACACTGCATTCTGTGCGATACTTCTCCATAACAATACCGGAGCAGTCTGTGTAGCCGCAGGTCTTCAGGACATTACACATGGTAGTAACCTTGTCGTCGTATCTGATGGTAGTGCTGTCACGCCAATGCTTCAACATTGTGAAACAGCACAAGTAGGAGTCACCATGGTGGTCTTGATCGACCTTGGTGACAAGGTTCTTGTCGCAGCCAATGGTAACGCAGACAAGCTTCCAGTCAGTTATCTTCTTACAGATGATACGAAGGGTGTCATCACACAGAGCCAGGCCTGCAGAATAATAAACATTTGCTCCAGTCTATGTGTTGTTGTTGTTGTATGTACAGAATCAAAGTCACCCTTACATGTAGGAAAGAAGCAGATCTGGCAATGTATACTACATAAAGTCACGATGTAGCTGATGACTGCATGTGTGCTACAAGAAAAAATAAAAAAATAGCAATGTACACTGATAGTGAAAAAAAATATGTGGCAGCTTCACTGAATCTTTTACCACCCCACCCCCCCAAAAAATTTGCCAAAATGTTCATCAATTTTGAATCCTTCATACAGACCATAAACAACAACCTAATATAATGCTGGGTAGTATGTGTACCTGTCGAACTTGTTGCGGTGGCACCAGTATCCACTACATGGATAGCGGATCCTCCAGTTGTATACTGAGTGGAGACACTTGCTGATGCTGAGAAACAAGATAAAACATTCAAGATTGAGGAAAAATTACCAGATTCCTTTAGGATTTTTATCAAAAATCTTTATGTCATTTAAGTCATTTCATCTTAAACATGGTGAGCTTATTTCTGGACAATCCAAATTTGTATGAATTTGCTTGAGTTAATGAAACAAATGATTTATCCATTATATTGGTGTACATGTAGACAGCAAAGAGAGTAACAGGACTGATTCAAACTTGAGACCCCTGACCATTCTTAAGTTACAGTGTAGATGAAACAGAATTTTACACATTTATCCAAGGTTGTACAGCACCAAAATACAATGCATCAAGCATAGTGCCCTGTAACAGTTATTCTTGTGCCAATAAACCATGAAAAAAAAACATGCTGATAGTGATACTACTTAGGTCTCTGAAACAAGACCAAAACATTGACAGTACTCACTGAACACTTCATTGCGGTAGTAATGTCTGCAGTCATTAGCCATCTGGATGTAACCACAAGCCTCGCAAGCTGCGCAGAAGATGTCGATCTTCTCAGCGTAGCTGCAGTCGATGGTGTCACGCCAGGTCTTCAGAGCAGTGTGGCAGCACAGGAAGTCATCGCTGCCACATTCATACTCCACCTTGCTGATGAAGTCATCATCGCAGCCCAAGCTGATGCAGATGGCCTTCCAGTCACCGTGCAGGGTTCTGCAGTAGATGTCAATCTGGGCGTCGCAGAGGGCCACGCTGCTTTCTGTACGGAACTTCTCGTAGACTGTGGTGGCACAGTGAGTGAAGCCGCACGTACGCAGAGCCGTGATCAGCACGTTGACCTTGACGTGGTAGTCGGCGTGATCGTAGGTGTCACGCCAAAGCTTCAGCATGGTGATACAGCACAGGTAGTTGTCAGAGCCGCAGTCCTCCATGATCTTCTGGATGAAGTCGGCGTTACAGCCCAGGGCGATGCAGACCGAAGTCCAGTCATCTGCAATCTTGTCACAGATGATCTTGATAGTGTCATCACACAGAGCAAGACCTGGTGAAAATAAACATCATTATCAAGCTGACCAATGACTTCCTTGAATTGAGATTATGGGAATCCGATCAGTTAATATGCAAAGTTAAATGTAGAGACAGTTGAAGATTATTTTCAAAGGCTGGTTTGGTGACAACTGTAAGGTAGTGATAAAGTAGTAAGACAGAATTCATTTGTCAAAAGTATAAGATATGGCGCCATACAAAGTTGGTCTGGAGGTGGAAACATAAATCATGTAAATTCTAGAAAGGAGGATGGTTGAAATTTGAAGATACTTGCTACTTACCAGTTGTTGTACCTCCAGTGCTCACAATCAGCTGTGTGGATGTTGACCCTGTGGCATATCCTTGGGTCACCTTACCACCTACAAGTTAAATGTTTAGAATCATTTAAAAGCATGTCCAGTGTATTGATATTTAGATTCATGTACATGTACATATACACAACCATGCATCACAAATTATAACTGATTATCAAATGGACTAAGTCTTATACATTCTTGTCAAGACTATCCATGACGTCTGCATTTCATATTTACACACCTTAAACCACCCAGTAAGAAAAAACAGTAATATTACTAGAAAGGCCAATATTTGCTTTGGAGCAAATATAGCGATGGGTTCACCACATTTTACCACATGGCAGGGAAAGAATGAGAAACACAAGGGAAAACAATGCTTTACAATGATATAACTATAGTATGAAGTAACATACAACTAAGACTACAACAGTTGGATAGCTATTCCCTACATTATTGGTTAGGATTGCATATTGCAAACTGTTGATTTTCAAGATAAAAAGAAGCGTTCATAGCCCGCATTCCAATGCTGGAGCAGGAAAGCTTAAAATACCTACCAAAACACTTGAATACAGACATACTGTCAGTATGGCATGGCTCTGTGCAGGTGTAAATGAAGTTAAGCCAGTTAAATCCCAACAGCCAATCAGCAAGGAGAATAGAGGAAAGCTGCATGCCTATTGGTTGATGCCTTGCATGCCATTGTGATGACTCATGTCCAAATGTGGTAAACACTGCACACTTACACAGTAATACATTAGCTATTACACAGCCAAAAAACTCAAATAAAACCATTCTAAAAGCCTGTATCACAATAATTTAAAAAACGCCTAGGGGTATTTGCCCACTGTACCTCCATACCAAATTTCAGGACCTTAGGCCCTAAAATGAAGAAGCTGAATCCATTTAAAGATATGGCAGGAGGAGGAGAAGGAGGAGGAGAAGGAGAAGAAACATCAGAAAAAGCAATATGGTTTCACCACACCACTTCGTGGTGTGGTGAACCCATAATTATGCAATACAAGATAATGGGAAAATTCTGTATAGTAGAGGGAGACAACTCACCAATGCTGGTTGCAGTCTGGACCACAGTACTTGTTGAGCTGCTGCTGGTCTGGACATTAGCAGTGGCTACAAAAGAAATCATTATGGTAACATTATACACAACAACATGACAATGACACAACCATACCTCAGTTACTGTTATGATATACACAAACACTACTAAGAAAAATGATATGTTTTAGTCATCATTGTCATTCGTGCAGTCGACCACTAGTCGTTTTCGTGATTGACAATCGCCAAGTCAGCAATGTCTTCCAGCCGCAAGTCACTTTTAGTATCTTTGGGTTTCATAAATTTTTTCATGATACATGTAGCTGATGCAAAGACAAATGTCCACTAAAATGGATATAGCATGACATGTATTTTTACAATAACACGTTACTTGGGAATTGTAAAAACTACTCACTTTACACAGATTTGCAGCCATACCTTATTGAACAAGGAACTTTGGATTCCAAGCATATCAAAACTACTACATTAACAGCAGTCCGTCAATGAGGGTTAGACATCCAGGTACTAAGAAAATGCGCCAAAAATACTTACTCAAGCAACTGGATATGATTTTGGAAACAGACATTTCAGGTAGCACCTTTCATCAGTGTCACTGTGCTTGAGAAACTGTTTTTTGCATATTACTGTAGTAAGATACTTACAATAGATCTCATGACGCCAGTAGTCCCTGCACTCTGTGGCAAGGTCAAGGTAGCCACAAGTGATGAGGGCATTGCAGAAGCGATCCACCTTCTCATTGTAGGTGCAGTCCACAGTGTTGCGCCAAAGCCTCAGAGCTGTGTTGCAGCACAAGTGGTGGTCTGAGCCACATTCATGCTCAATCCTGCACAGGACATGACATATAGGAAATAATTGTATATAGAGGCTACTACCACGGCAAATCATTAGCCTTAGAGACTGCGTGTTAGAGAATGGTTAAATCTCTAATTTGGCTGCTAAAATATATTCTGTACATAGTTTACCATATACTATTTTATTAGATATTCTGTATGTGGATGACTTTAGTCACTCAAAATGTTCTTAGTTTTGTTTGATCTTCATTGTAGTAGACTATATGAAGTCCCTGTACTTTTGTTGAGTCAATAATAAAGAATCATACAATCTAAAATGTCCTGTGGATATTTGCAACATCATCACAAATTACTATTCCTACACTGCAATATTAAGACAGTATCCTCTATCACAAAAATACAAATAGAATACAGAACAGTATGCTTTGCAATGATAGTATCATAAATAATCATTTTCAATTGCATTCCTGAATCTTGAAGTAAATCCATCATTGTGTGGTTGGTTCAAGAATGGTTTATTTGCTTAAAGATCTGTGTAACTACTGTATTCAAAAACAACAAAATACCTTGTGATGAAGTCATCATCACAGTGCAGAGCAATGCAGATGGCCTTCCAATCTCTGCTGATGGTGTCACAGTAGTGGCTGATCTTAGAATCAGACAGCACCAGGCTGCATTCCGTGCGATACTTGTCTTGCACGATAGACACACAGTCAGTAAAACCACAGATGTCCAGTGCCTGACACAGGTACGTAACCTTATCGCTGTAGGACACATCGATAGAGTCGCACCAATCCTAAATGGAGAAAAAAAAACATTTCATGTAGCCGTTAGGATATTGAAGTTGAAATACAAAATGTGCACACAATTTTGCACACACACACACACAAAAAAATCCATTAAGATTATTTTGAAAAAAAAAAAATTAAAAAAAAAAAATGTGCACACAAGGAATAGAAGCAAAATATAACAGCCATTACCAGGTAACATATCACACTCTGTACATCTACACATGTACATATCAAGTATTTTGAAAAACAGTGTGTCTTTGAGGTCTCTAGTGCAGCACCCACCAAGTATGCACAATTTAGATATGCACTGATACATTATTCTGGGGGTCATTGCATCGGCCATCTATTTAGATGCATTTTTTTTATTCATTCAGAGTGGGTATGTGTGAGATTGTAGAATTATGTTTGTAGATGTTAAATGTATAATTGGAAATTTAAAAATATCATGACACTGTTAGACAGAAATTTCTTTACACCTTTAGTCAATTTATATGTATATTGCCACACATCAGTTATCAAAGAAAAAATATTTTCTTTACCCTGAGCATGGTGTAGGCACACAGATTAAAGTCGTCACCACAACTGTGCTGAATCTTCTGCACAAAGTCAATTCCACAACCAAGAGCCTGACAGACAATCTTCCAGTTGGAGGAGATTTTGACAGAGATGATCTTCAGGGTGTCATCACACAGAGCCAAGCCTATGGTGCAAACATTAGATGGAAATTTTAGATATTAAAAAAAAATCATCCTTACAAAACATTCACACAATTCCATGTTTATGTACTTGAGAAGCAAATTTAACACAAGGGCCTAGGAATTCAAGAAGCTTGAGTTAATCAAAGTCCTTACCTGATGTACCAGTAACTTGAACACCCGTGCCACTGGTTAAGTGAACACTAGATGAAGCTGAAAGAAAAACATACAATGTGAATTATGTACATGACATTGTGTACAAATGTCAGCGTCTTGTTATCAGTAAGACAAGGACTCTTGAATATACAGTACAACAACTTCCTAGTTAAATAATTAATGATATGAACTATATGATAAGTTTACTTTCTTATATACAATTATAGATATTACAATAATTATTATTGTATTCAACTTGTTGAATGTCTCTCACATCTCATTTATGTAAAGTGGCTACATGTACATGTATATGCATGATAATGTGCTATGGACATATTCTTTGAGGTAAAAAAAAACTTACATAGGATCTCATGATTGTAGGTCTCCCGACAGTCATAGGAAACATCATGGTAACCACATATGTCCAGGGCTTTGCAGAAGATGTCAACCTGCAAGGGATAAAAACAGTCATGCTATAAACACATGTACATGTATGTGTCAGCCTTCCACCTAAACATTGCACATTGCACAGCTATAACTGATGCAGCTATAAATTTACAACAAGTGGCACTGCATAATATATCAAAAAGAGTCTTTTTTTTCAGCAAGAGTTTTATTTAGCTGATACTTTGGTGACCCTCTATCACCTTCCTCACTGCAGAGGTATCGCTGCTATAGATGTGTTCCAAATACATTTTGGAAATTCAAAGTATCTACATTGTATATGGGGAATGGTATATACATGTAGAATGCGGTCCCAAACAGACATATAATTGTTGTCAGCTGAATAAAAACACTTTGCATGACACGTTGCATAAAAAGAGTCTTCTTATTCAGTGACTCAAATGTGCATTCTGTACAAATATAGTGAAACTATTCACAGAAGCACATAATATGCTTATGTCTAAAAGTATAGCATTACCTTTTCACGGTAAGTGCAATCAATGGTATCCCTCCAGGTCTTCAGCAGAGTTGTACAGCACAGGTAGTCATCATGACCACAGTCTGTCTCAATCCTACAACATGAGAACTCACAGTTAATCAATCACTGACAGCTGGTGGGGGAAAGTGTGCATGTGATGAATCAAGAAATGCTATATTTAACCGTTAGATGACATCACAACATGACACATGACATGACAACACAAATAGAAAACATAACCTCTCCCTCTCTCTACCTAATATTTGATGAAATCTATCCTTGTACACTTACATGTACATTTGTACTCACCTACATGTGAGGTCACCATTTCATACTGGAAGCATTTCATAATATACAAGCTACATGAGGCATCTCTTAATTTTTTGGGTACCACCCATAAATAACCATAAGAAACCAACCATTTTCTGTCAGTGACATTGCATTTTTTCCTCAACAATATCAGTCATAATGCTCTGGGATTCACCTTTCACATTAAAAGAATGACCAAAAAATCCAGTTAACTTTGCCACCCTGAAATTGCATTGGATACCTTTAACCCAGATAGTGAGTAACTGAGTGAGATTCCTTACTTGTGCATGAGGTCAGCATCACAGCCCATGGCGATACAGATGGCCTTCCAGTCATGGCTGATGAGCCTGCTGTAGATGTCGAACTGGTGGTCACACAGAGCGATGCAGGTCTCCGTACGGAACTTGTGCTCCAGGGTGGTGGCACAGCTGGTGTAACCACAGGTACGGAGGGCATCACAAAGCACCTGGACCTACAGGTGGGAACATGATGTTGGTTTATCATAAAAATTGGTATTGAACTGGTGCCCAGAAGGGAAAAGAAGGAGAAGAGGCCAAGCAATGACCTGGAGGGGAACGGTTGAGCGAGACCTTGCAAACATCAATTGTGGGTATAGGAGGGGCGCAACAGACTGCAACAAGCAAAAAACTGTGGAAGACGATGATGGCCTGCCTCAGTGCCAAGTGCTGATGTGGTGAAGGAGAAGAGGAATCTTAAACCACCTTGAAACACTCTTCTCAATGCTTGACAACACTGTTGCACTTTGCATGAGCCCCTGATATACTTACATGATTGTTCATAATGTATATCTCATTGCGTTGTACTGTTGATACATGATTGTTAAGATAGATGAAATGTGTAATCTTTGCATGGCATGTAACACCCAATAATGCCCATACATGGCAACATTGACAGAATCTTCCAGAATTCACATACTCAATTCCTTTTTCTATTAAGATATATCTTTAAGTTCTTACTTATAAATATGAAATTGGTTTTTACTTTGTACAAGTTTTTATAGAGTCTCTTTATCATTAAGATGCAATTTAGGCAAACCAGGTCCACAAGTTCCTTTCTCAGTAAACTTGATCTTACCTTGGTTGTGTAGTCGATGTCAACATTGTCCCTCCATGTCTTCAGCATGTAGCTGCAACAGTACACGTTGTCATCACCACCCACCTTCAGTACCTTCTGGATAACGTCACTACTGCAGCCCAGGGCAATACAGAGGGACGTCCAACCAGTGGTGATCTTAGTGGAGATGTAGTCAATTGTGTCGTCGCAGAGCGTCAGACCTGTGGTGGTTTTAGGGTAAAGAACAGTGTTACATGTATCTGCAAACAGGGATTCACTCTAGATTTTTGTGATGTGAATGTATTAACACAAAGAAACAAATTAATATTAACATCATTACTCTATTAACTTCACCCTTTATTTTGGAACAACTGTAAAAATCCTACCTCACATGACTTATTTTATTACGTGATAAAGAGTCATGCAATTGTCAAAAATAAGTTTGTAGCTGTGGACAAAAATTTCTTACTTCAACATTTTTTTTATCAACCCCTAAACCTAGCGATGTCATGTTTGTGAGAACAGAGACAAAGTCTCACCACTGGTGACAGTTCCTCCAGTGCTTGAAGCAGTGAAGCGGCTCGAGATCAGGGTGCCACCAGTCTGATAGTTGGTAACTACACCAGACGTGACTGTGTGCAAAAAAAAAAGATAAGCATAATTATTATGTATTGTGTTAGATTCTAAACAAAGCTCTATAATGCAAATGTGTGGTAGAGGCTAGAAAATTAATGAAAACACAACATACCGACAGCAGTTCCACCTGTTGACACATGCTCAGTGCTGCCAGTGCTGACACCTGAGTTGAGAAAAAAGGAAAGGATCTCAAGATTACCATTGACGTATTTATGCTTGTCAAAATGAACAAGGAAATAATACAAATAGATGCAGATGTAACAGTCTTTCTTAAACAGCTGTGGGAAGATAACAACACTTACTGCTGCTGGTAGAGGACACTGTGGCAGATGAGCTGCTTGTGGACACCACAGATACCTGAGATGTGGCAACCACTGCAGAACAACAGAACATAAGATACATGTACAACTGTAACATTACATGTAAGTTTTTTTCTACACCTTTTTTGTACTATGTTCAATAGTTGTTGCCACATTGAACCTTGTACAATTGTTGTTCTTCTATAACTTGTTTAAGTATGAGCAAAAGTGTTGTAAAATACTTATTAAACAAACTTTACTTACTGGATTATATTGGGTTTTTTTAAAGGGAAATCATGGCGTAAATAAACTTGAGCATGTCAGGATTATCTATCATCTTTTTACCAAGACCACATACCGACTTCCTTCTGGTAGTCCCTCTTGACAGTTTGCGAGCACTGGTAGAAGCCACACAGGTCCAAGGCATAGCACAGGTGCTCCACCTTCTGTGCGTAGTCATAGTCTGAAGTGTCACGCCATGTAAGCAAGGCATGGTAGCAGCACAGGTACGAATCAGTGTCATACTTGCTGATGATCTGTGTAAGGAGATATTGGCATGTTAAGTCCATAAGAATGTAACAATAGAAGTTCTTCTGACATTCTTAAAACGTCATTTTGTAAAATACATGTAACTGCTACAATGTTTTTGCAGCCTGCATACCTTGGAGGCTAGAAAAAATATACATTTTACAAGTATTTGACTTGGCAAATAACTTTACCTCACACAAGTGTGTCGTGAGCAACAATGGCTGGGATTCAAATTCCCAACCTCTTAGTCCAGAGGCAGGGTGGCTAACCACTGGGCTGCACATGCTGCTGATAAGTCCAAAATTATGCGATCACAATAAACTAGTCCAACCCACCTGCTTGGTGAAATCATCGCTGTAGCCCAAAGCGGTGCACAGGGCCAGCCAATCACCAGACACAATCTTGGCAATGATCTTGAAGCTGTCGTCGCTCATGCAGATTGTCTTCTCCATGCGGAAGTTCTCGTGAACCTCCACGGCGCAGTCGGCATAGCCGCAGTGCTCCAAGGCACGGCACACCACGTCCACCTTGTTGTCATACTCCAGATCACATGTGTCACGCCAATGCTGTGGACAGACAGTATGGTTTAAACAATCAGTAAATATGACATTGTACAGTAGTAGAGGAGATGAATTTATCAAATAAAAAATTAAGAATATGAACTGGGATGTCATAAGCAAAACAAACAATATGTTGGTACCAATGGCAAACGGATACAATTTTTCTTCAAAGTCATTACCTACAGCTGGGATTTACAGTAAGCAAGAATTGTACAAATGTATATTGGATACATAGCTGACACATATATGACTTAGGACATACCTTCAGCATGGTGGAACAGCAGACGAAGGAGTCACCGCTACTCTCCACTTCCACACGGGAGATGGTCTTAGCATCACAGCCCAGAGCCATGCACAGCAGCTTCCAGTCATCACTCACCTTACGGGAGATGATGTCAATGCAGCTGTCACACAGGGCAAAGCCTAATGCAGGGGAGAAAGGGGAATAAAACAGACTAAGTCTTGTAAGACCAAGGCCAGACTTCCAAGCCACACAGGAAGTCACCAGAGGCGTGAAGATAGTCTGCTAGACTGACTGACAAAGAAGAAGACTTGTAGATATACACCCTGGTAGTCCATCATACAACTGTAGTTGAAATTGACTGTTTGTCCTAGACAAATATGTAATTGATACAGACATGCTTCCAAACTAACAAACAAACAAGTATGTGCTTTGACTGGATGAAAAATGTTTTCCTTCTGCATAAAAGTTTTAATATAACCGAGGAGGTCTGACAGAACTGGTAACGTAGCACATTAAGAAGAAATGGATGTGTAGGACATGATGTTGTACCATGTGAAGTCTTGCTGATGGTGACAGAAGAGCCGCAGATGTCCTCACACTTCAGCTTGTTGTTCCAACACTGGCACATCTTACATTCACCCTCCTTCCAGGATGTACCAGGCTACAGGTGCAAACACAATTAAAATATAAATCATTATCGGAACTTAAATAGTAGAGTGGTTTCATTCCTCAAGATAACCAACATCTAGCACACCACAGTCGTCCCTCAGTAAGACATCTGGAGCCGCATAGTTCCCATATACTAGTATAACTTTTATTCAGCCTGTCGGACACACACTCCTTATTAGAACCTATCTGTATGTATTCTTATGGACATGCCATTTAAAAGTAGAGACTTTGAACTGACTACAATTTTTTCTACTGGCAAAAAAAAGGGAACTCTCTGATGATTGCAAAACAAATTAACCAATGTTTCAGCACCAAGGACAGAGCCTGCAATACTTATTAACAAGCCTTAGATACAACTGAAAGACAGGTTTTATGGAAATTACAGCTCACCGGGACAACAGTGCCATCTTCCTTCCTGCATGGACAGTCTTCAGTTGTCACACATTCATCAAGTCCACGCAGCACATAGCCTTCAGGGCAGCCCTATAGATGTAATCAATGAAAATACAACATTTAGAAACAACGTATCAACAGGGGACTGTGATATCTGTCAAAGGTTAACCACATTTTGGATTGGTAAAGCATAAGGTGCATTGTTTTGACACGCAGACAAACAAACAAGCAAAAACAATACTTAACTCACTTAGGGTGAGGTAATAAAATTAGTAAATACATAAATGGATGAATTGTTGATTAAGGTTAGACATCCAGGTAATAAGATATGACAAAAAGCAGTTACTCAAGCAACTGGATATGATTTTGGAAATGGTCAGATATTTAAGGTAGCATCCACTACCTTTCGTCAGTGACACTGGTGAGATCTCAAGATCAACACATATAATATACTAACAAAAAACTATTTATTTATAGTCAAGTCAAGTCAAATTTTATTGCACGATTGTCACGGGTACAATATAACACCCTCAGGTGATGAAAATATGTACGTAAGTATGAAGTATGAAAATAAGGTGAAGACAAATTTTTAATAGTCCAATAGGAAACAAAAGGTTGATGAGTCAAATGAGTCAAATAGTTCCTGTTGTTTCAGAACAGGAGCTTAAGTATAAGAAACTTCAGTAACTTCTCTGGATGAATCGATCAAACATTTGTGAAAAAAGAAAGATCTCTCACCTGGAACTCTCCGCAGTATGGCACACAGGTGTCGTCGTAGCCGTAGGTACACTCAGCACGGGTCAGGCGGAAGGCATGACAGGTCTGGCGACACTTGAAGGCACACTTCACCAGCTTTTCGGGAGGACACTCTGGTTCGCTGGTGGACACTGGAGACTTGGTGGTCACACACACCTCATCATGGCCCTCTGTAGGAGTAAAATATCATTGTCAATTCTTTCCATGCATCATTCAGGCATGAGTAGAAAGATAGTTGATATTGTAGGAACACAACTACAACATTTCAGTTAGGGACAACAATTGCTGTTATACAATGAGAAGTAAACATTAGTTACAAACTATTGATGTCTGCTTAATGATCACCATGATTGTCATTTCCCATATACAGACTCTGAGATGAATTTGACATCATGGTGATATTACATTCTTTTATCAGTTTCAAAGTATTCTTCCATTCTTAGATATACAATTGTCATGATATAAATGCCATAGGATCTAGCTATACAGGACAATCTACTAGAGAGTAATTCATCCAGCAAATGTGTCTAATTTATTACATGCTTTCAGCATCATTTGCATTACTCATACATTTCAACAAGAATGACGCAGTAAAGTGAGAAAGTCTTCCATACCCATGCACTGGCACTTGAACCTGATCTCATAGTCATAGCACTCTGGCACAGGTGACTGCTCATTGTTGTTGCAGGTCAGTCCATTCAGGACATCACACTTCACATTCTGTCCTGCCTGGTTGTAGGGTGTACCATACTCTGCCACACGACACTCAACATCAACCACCTGGAATCATGTATAAAAACAGGTGAATCATAAAGTCTGTAGCAGCCAGAAATAAGTTGTTGCTACTTACAGTAGGGAAACACTTTTGTACTTTCAGTAAAAAGTAGTGGACCTAAATTTGATTAACCATATCCCTGCTGCTGAACACTGTACCCAATACAAATTTGGTCCTGAAAAAGGAAATTGAGTTTTAGCTCACCGAAGAAATACTCTCCCACTGGTCATGACAGAAGAGACAGACACTATGTACATTATTTACAGGTTAATGGTACCAGGAAAATTCCCCTAGCTCTTTTTGACAAGTACCATGGACAGTGGAGCAAAGGACTGTGACCCTTTACAGTAGCATGCATGTCAGGTGGGCAACAACAGATTCAAACTACAAATCCCTTAGTCACTAGAGACAGGGTTGCTAAGCACTGGAATACGCATGCTATGTTAAATGGCTACCTTAACAGGTTGAAGGTTAAAGAATCAAGCTATTGTTATAGGGATTTCAGTGCAACTATTCCAAGAGGTAGAGATCTAAATGTACTATTAAGGACAGATTACATGACAATACGAACCTCCTGATCAAGGCAGAAGCTGTACTGGCGACGCAGCACGCTGAAGGTCTCGTAGTCTCCACCGTTGACACTGTTGGGGTATCCAGCATTCATCCAGTCTGTCCACCCCTCGTTGCACTCTGTGCACACGGTGATCGCTGGGGGCTGGGTCAGAGTAGTGCTGGTGGGGATCCACAGGGTGGAGGCTGGGTTGTGAAATGATATGGAAAACATCAGTTATTGAAACCCCTCTCACAAAGGTGTGATGTTGCAAGTCTGGCAATACTCTATTGTTATTTTCATGGCAAATGCTCTGCAGAACTTCACTTGCTTGTGCTCCCACTTCAAACCTCTTGGCCAGGACACGTTTTGCAACTACTACAGAAACAATTCACCCTTTCTTCCTCCATACTCCATCTCTCAAATGGAATTTCCAAGCTGAAGCTTCTTTCCTAGAACTACATCACTATGGAACAAGCTTCCCTGTGAATGCCTCCCAAATGGGTACAACCTTTTTAAGTCTACGGTAAAGAAACATCTGTCTTTATAGTCCCTTATTGTGACCCAGCCATGAGTGGGTAATATGAGCCTTATTTTGAGGTGAGAATTGTTAAATAAATCTAAAAATGCCAGTAATAAGATAGCTTTCCAATCAATGTATTATATGTAACCAATAAATCAGCACCAAGGACAGATCCTATTATAGTTGTTAAACAAAGTTTCAACTTTTTTGCATGGTAGAAACACACCTAGTAGAAAGAAATCATGTTTATGAGAAGTAATTGAATGATATTGTACAACTACACTGTGAAGTATTGCTGCTTGTTAGGTAGTTACATGTGCATGACCTACATGTAGAAATACCAGACATTTCAATAACAGCGACTATTGTCTTTAATCATATTAATTGTGTGTTCCTTAGTCTGTACTTACTCTCTCTTGGGCATGGCAGACCAAGGCACTCAACCTCATGGTTCACACAGTAGCTGGGGAAAAGAAACATCAGTATAATTACATATAAAAATTGACAGAAATTTTCTGAAGAAACATCCCCAGCAAAAAGGAGTTTTGAGTGTCTAGAGTTAGATGGCGAGTAACAGATGGCAAAATCTTCCATTACCAAATCCTCCAGTCTGCCAGGTTCAAGCTTAAAAAAAAAAACATAGCCAGTCAAATGAGTCACAAATTATACAGATATAGACCAACTTACCAACTCCTGCAGTCATCAGACATGGACAGGATCTTCTCTCCCTCATCATAAGGAACACCATCCAGGGTGATACAGAAGGTACACTCCTCTTCATGCACACACTCCTGTGAGAAGAAACAAAGAAGAAGCATAGAACATTAAAACACACATTTCAAGTCACAATGCAAAATTCAGTACAGTTATATCCACCCTATTGTAGCTTATCTGTCTTCTCTGTCCCTTTCTGAAGGAATAGAAAGACCTGATAGCTACTAGTATACATATATAATAGGGATGGACAACAGACTATGGATATCTACCATACAGCCACTTGTTCTAAGCTCTTTCAGAGGTTTGAATATAGTAAAAGCAGAGAAAGAGATAATTGGAAGACTCACGTATTCCTCGTTCATGTATTTGCCCTCAGGACAGTCGCAGCCCTCCACACACATGTCGCGACACTCGGACTGGATGGTGGCCCAGTGCTTGTGGTTGGCACAGGTCAGAGGGCAAGCGCTCAGACAGGGGTTGTACCTGGTACAGCCTCCACACTGCATGGCTGTGGGAAAACAACATTAGAATATAAGGATTAAGTCTTATCACTTTATTTGTAAGGGCAGAACATCTTGACTGCTCAAACACTCTTAAAGCCACCTGAGAGGATCCTTTTCAAATGTATCAGAAGTACAATAGATAGGGAAATCGTCATCAGATATCACCTCTCTGTGTTTGTATCCTTAAAGCGATTCTAAAGCAAGGTAAAAAAGAGCTTTCCCATCATTGCAATACAGTTAACCATTAATTCAGCACCAAGGACAGGTCCTGCTATATGCTAAAATATTACTATAATTGAAAATCTGATGAAATTTCCTTGATATCGAATGAAATGCATATATTCTTCTTGATCAATCAAATCAAATCAAGAAGTAAAAAAAAAAGGACACAGCATGTCAGAGAGCAAGCTAGTTTCAGCTTTAAAACGTCAAGAAAGAGCATTCTGCAGTGTCCCTGCCCCAAAAATTGTCACAGTTCATTTCTCCACATCGCATTTTACTTACGGCAGAATTCCTGGCTTCTCCAGTGCACGTGCACACCGTGCAGGTTACACTCCTGGGCGTAGGTGGCGACAGAGGTACACAGACACTCGCAGTCACCACCACTGTCACAGCCACAGGCATCAAACACACAGCGCTCGTAGTAGTCCTGGTAGGGCACCTCATAGTGACAGGTCCTGAACAGCTCAGACTTGATGATGGCACACTTCCTCTGGGCCCAGGCTTTCCTGTGTTAGCAAGGGTTTTAAAAGAGTGAGAGTCTTTACACACATGTACCATGGATTCTAATCTTTCCTCATTGTGGTGGCTCTTGCAACTGCAGTACTATTCTGACGTAGTAGTAGAAATTGATAGTGATACTGATGATAGTGTATATCAATTAAAATTGTAGTGTGAGGATAGCTTTAGTCCCTACACTGCATGAGACACACACAAACATAGCAGAAAAACAACTTTCTAATGATTGCAATACACTTAACCAGTATTTCAGCACCAAGGACAGAGCATGCTACACTTGAAGAAATTACAGTTTCAGTAGTAACATTACATAAATCTAGAGAAAATGAACATATTCTTCTCAGTCAAACAAAAAAAAGTGAATGCCAAGCTAGTATACCACTTCTGTAGACATCATAGGTCAAGAAAAATATTCAGTGGTGTTATTCAATGATACTTATGCTTACAGATTACTTCCACAGTAAAAATGACTACAGCAAAGCACAATACAGTATGACAGTGTAACTGATTTAATTTTAGTAAATCATCATGTCTTAGAAGCTTGTTTGAGGCTTAACACTAACAAGCATCTATAAGCAGAATTTCACACACTCTTAAACTGCATCATTTTGATAAACTATGTTGAGCAGCTCCCCCTACCTGTGTGGGTGGAGAGTGCAGGTGTCCTTGATGACTCCAGCATCAGCACAGTAGTCATGGATCTTCCAGGCATTACCAAACTCTGTCTCCAGCTCTGTTGTCAGGCCGTTAGGCATAAGGAAGTCATCCTGCTGGTCTCCGTTGTAGTTACCACACAGACCTTCCACCTGTTACAAATGTACATGTACTAGTTAGGGAAGCTTCACAACACTTTACAAGAAACTGAAGATTTCACTTGCAAAAATATGTTGGGTTTTTGTGATCTCAAAGTTCACCCCCGGGCCCCATTTCTTGTGTCTGACCTTTTGACCTCCTAAACATTTACATGCTGCCTGTCAATCTTCCATACCACATACTGCCAACCTACTCTCAAGTTCATCCCATTTCCTGTGTCTGATCGTTTGACCTCATGTCATGCTGCCTGTCAGTCTTTTCCCCACCCACGTGCTGTCAACCTGCTGTCTATGCAGACACACAATCTACGGCCTAGCCATCCAAAACAATACCTCTATACATGGAAGTAACAAACATAATGCAAGTTACACATCCGTGCATTGTAACTATAGACTGATAGTTAGTATTATAGCTTCAATGGTATCAAATGTGAGTTGAATGTTAATGTGTTTATCTATGACTACCTACCTTGCCCTTGTGCACTGTCTCCAACTTGATGTAGACACGTGTGCCCCTGTCCCACTGCAGAGTGACACCGATGTCTGTACGCACAAACACGTACAGTCCAACTTGGGCCACTTGGAATGGTGTGTCTCTCTCCTGTATATGGCAAGAAATAAACATTACATTCTACATGTACCTCTTGAAATGAAAACTCACCTGCATTTCTTTACTAGAATAAATACTGTAAACCTAAAATACTGTAAAGTTTTGACAGTCTTATTTCATTTGGTATCTTTATTAGGTATATGATATTACTTACTACCTACATGCAGTGTAAGGTTTTTGTGAATACCATATGAAGCTATGGCGTTGCTCGTGGCAGCTGGATATGGTAAAAATGGCAAACAAAAAACATTTCTATGTAATGTACAATATAGTCTAGACTTAAACACTAGCCAGACTATGAGAAATGTGGATCATACTAAAACTGTTTAGAAACCATTGTCATTATCTGTTTTATAATTATACTTCATAGATGGCAGCAGACAATGCAGCAAATAAAAATACACATACACATACACCAACATGTATCTATAAACCTAGTACATGGGCCAGTGTAGGTTGGGTGCAGATAAATTTTTGTACATGCACAGCCCCAACTTTACCTGCACTAAGGTACATGAACCCAGTACAAATGTATTTCGTGCCCTGCTAGCCAATAAGTTCTGCTGACAAACCTTTGGCACATCCTGTCCCCTGACAAGTGTCAGTGTCTTCTGACTGTCTCCCTCTCCGATGGTGAAGATGATGGACTTGGTGCAGGTGACACCGCTGGTACCACAGGGGATGTTCTCAGACGAGATGGAGAACTGCTGGGCGTTGTTACCCGTGCTCCTGGCGATGACGTACTCACACTCGCCCTGGAAGTCGTACTGGCGACCATCGAAGGACTTGAAGTGAGGGTCTCCGTAGGCTGAGCAGATACCGGGGCACTCGTTGTTCTCACATGTCCAGGTACGGCCAGAGCAGGTGCTGTAAAACATTAGGATATTTGGTTAATGAATAGGAAAGGAATATACATTGTACATTGTACCTTGGAGTACTGCAAAACATTTGATCTATTATTATTAGTAACTCTTTGGTCTTTCTAAGCTACATGTACTCTTTGCAGGTACATGTAAGTTGGGTAACATAGAGTATGTATTTTGCATCAAATTGCAGTTTGTGTAGATATTATGTTCAATGCTTTACTCAGTGTATGATAAAATGACAGTGTAGGAGCAGACTCACCCAGTTTTTGTGCTATTATATTGCATGTAGGAGGAAATAAGAGAGGACTCACACAGTTTGTGTACTAGATAATATGTTCAATGTTTTACTCAGTGTATGCGGAAATGACAGTAGAAGAGAAGACTCACCAAGTGCTACAGTTTATGAGGAAATACGGGAGGACTCATTGAGTGTTACAGTTTGTATAGATGTTATGTTCAATGTTTGACAGTGTATGAGGAGAGTATAAGGGTGAACTCACCAAGTGTTACAGTTTGTGTAGACATTATGTTCAATGTTTTACACAGTATTAGAGAGGACTCACCAAGTGTTACAGTCCACCATCATGGTCTCTCCATCGTGGTAGCTGCGACCACCGTGGTAACATGGGCAGTCACTGGGAGTGACACAGTTAGCACCATCCCACACTGTCATGTTGTTACACTCACAGCCAGCAATACACTTGCCCTAAATATATGTAAGTGTAAAAAAAAAAACATTATTGCTGATGCATAGTATTACTAAAGGACAACTTTAAAAGAACTTATAGTATCATTAAATGATAGAATTTGTGCTCCATAGATAGTTCCACTTGATACAGAGTGACGGGGGTGCCCATCTCATTTTTTTAGCCCTTGGGCTACACAGTTGTGCAAGCACTATAACATGGGGCTAGTCTACTGGTACATTTGTAGGATTGTGTGTTTGACCTTCCTATAATCTTTCTCAAAGATGCTGCGTGCTAAGCAGAGGAAGCAGTACAATGTACCATTTTTAAAGTCTTTGGTATGACCCGGCAGGGACTTGAACCCACAACCTCCCAGTCTTCCCATTCTGTTTTAGCCATTGCACTGGTAAATTAGATTGAAGATAAATGTTTGCATAGATAGAGTTAGCACTTCCTAGTTTTTCTTCAACATCATAACTGTACAACATATTAAATCTATTTGTTCTTTTGTACTGGGTGTAACTGTTGACCTACCCTTGGACAGCTGAGGTATGGCATATGCATGTTGCTACAGGTGCGAGGACAGTTGCTCTTGCAGTTTGTCCACTCCATGTGGGGAGGGCACTCCTCCTCCTGTGGGCACTCGTTGTCAGTGCAGATCCACTGACCCTTGTGGCACTCACTGAAAAAACATCATGCAGCGTTGGAGCATTTCTATCATAGATATCTTCAGTTTATACATTTGGTACTGTGCACTTACAGATAGTAAGTGCACAGTATCAAAAACTTCCTTCCTCAAGCATAATGTGGGATCATAAAAGACCACCTCTACAAGCCAGCCATCTGGCCATAACAACCTTTTTTCCTGGACCCAAGTTTTTTCCCATAGAGGTAGCATTAAGGTGCTTGCCTAAGCTTGTCCAATTCTTGATGGAGTTGGCCAGCTGCCATTGATTTTGACAGCATGACAGTCTTTGTGCAATGTAAAATGCTTCCTACGCTGTATGAGACACACTCAGGCTATACATACACGTCAAACAACTAGCAGAAAAACAAGTTTCCAATGACTGCAATACATTTAACCAGCAATTCAGCACCAAGGACAGCATATGCTACACTTAAAGAAATTACAGTTTCATTGATCACGTTACATGAAACCTTGAGAAAATGCACATATTTTTTCTTAAGGCCACACCAATTTAATTTCTTGGTTAACGGATCCGCCGCTTCATTTTTTTCTGATTTGCAAATAAAAATAAAAATTCAGAATCAACTGCAAAATGCTCCTATTTTGCCCTGAACAGTTGAAAACAGTCCTTTTCTTACTACTTGTTACAGTCATTCCATCTTTCAATGCAGTAGTATCATTAAAAGTTCAAAATTCATTGTTTAAATTTTGAACCAGCCTGGTGTGTTGACTTCATGGCTCCTATCTTACCATTTTGGGCCATAATAGGATACCTTGGCCTGTTTTTACTTTTATTTTTTTTTCGCCCGCCCGCTCCATTATTTTTCTAGAAAAATCCGTTAACCAAGAAATTAAATTGGTGTGGCCTGATCATGAAATAAAAAGAGCGATAGCATGACAGCTGCCATTGATTTTGACAGCATGACAGTCTTTGCACAATGTAAAATGGCTCCGCACAGGTCACTTTGGGTCAATTGGGCAGTCTACTGTAAAATTAGTGGAAAGTTTACTGGGATTTTCTAGTTCACTGTCAAGTTTTGTCACCATGCTTTTTGTATAAGAAAGCCAGTTGTCCAAGAAGACCACATTTCCTAGGCCCCCTGGGTCATATCTCAATACAAGTCCGGTGTTCAGTCTATCTTGGCTTGGGCGGGCTCCCTTCTGTCGAGTAGATGTTCCCTGCTGCCCAGTTCAACTAGGATCCCGGTAGGAGTTTTGCACAACAGGTTTGATTAGCCTACCATTTGACTGTCTAGGATTATGAAAATGCATTTTTCCCTTCTTCCCTTCTTACGGACAGAAGTATTAACATGATCCACTTACCAGATGTTGCACTCCTGCATGACAGTGTCTCCAGCCTTGAATGCCTGTCCCTGGTACAGACACACACACTGCTCCACAGGGACACAGTGACCGTCATAGTCCAGCACCAGGTCATCAGGGCACATGCAGCCTTCCACACAGTGTTCCTCACAGTCGTGGTTCTGGGCCAGGGCACCACAGGAGGTGCGACAAGCCTTACCACAGGACTTGTAGACCAGGGAACCAGTACACTGCAGCTCTGTAAGATATAGGATTGTGCAATGTTATTTAGTATTGATATATTACATATTAAGGAAGAATAGCTAACAGAGATGTCTTGAAGTTAAATTGTGGATCCTGATAAAGTCAAATGAGTCAATTTACATGCAGCTTGTAGACTTCTCCATCTTAAATCTTTTTTGTTAACAGATATGGACAACTTAGTCCATATCTGTTAACAAAAAAGATTTATTCACAACCATTTATTTTACATTGAGCCAATGTTTCGATGAACGTCCGTCATCTTCATCAGGATAATATGACTGGAGCTAAGTGTTACATGATTCGCTGTGCACTGGAGCTAGGTGTTACTGGTTCACTATGCACTGAAGCTTAGTGTCGTAAAGCAATTGTGACATACATCAGTATTGTTACAACATTGTGTTACATGCAATACTAAATGTAAGTATTGTATGAATACAGATAGAGCTAACATGGTCTCAAATGTGAAGATTGTTTCTGACATTTCTTCTCAAGCTTACCACACTCGGTCACTTGGCTTCTCCAGTCCAGCACAATTCCTTGCTTGGCACACATGTGTGCGTAGTCAGCCAGAGCATCACAGAACGGGCTGATACCTGAGTTCACCTCAGTGGCACACACATCGTACATGCAGTTGTCGTAGTAGGCCTTGAAATTCACAGCCTCATGGCACTCTGTGGAATGGAAAGGTGTTACAAGATCAATCATCAAGCAAAACAGGATTTAAACATTTTTGTGGAAAAGTTAGACCATCACAAATGTCATGGAAGAAAACTGGCACTAACAATATAGCTTCATTTCTAATGACAATCAGAAAAGCTTAGTGCAGGCTTGAATTAAATGCTTATTATGACTTAAGTCAAAATGTGATGAACTATAAATTTCATGGCTTAATATACAATGTAGGAACAGTGACTGTAAATATCTGACACATTTCACTTTTAGGTAAAAGTTAGACCATCACAGATGTAAAAATGGTACTAACAAAATAGTTTTATTTCTATAATGAGAAAAGCCTATGCAGGCTTGAATGAAATGGTTATCATAATTATAATTATAACACTTAATAATACTAAAAATACTAAAATGCAGTTTTTACAACTTGCTACACATTCAAATACCAAAAATTAACTGTGATACTTACGCCTGAAGGGTTCTTTCTTCAGGATAGCACACTTTGCTGTTGCTGTCAGCCTACGCTGAGTGTACATGTCACAGGGATGGGACTCCTCTTGCATGGAGATGTCAGGACACAGCTCCTCAACCTACAAGATAATGACATCTTATTAGTATCTATCATAGTATTAAAAAAAAGACAAAATGCTATGATGGCATAGTAATGGCTCTGCTAGTGATCATGTGGTCTTAATCGATGAAAACCTCATGCTTGGTATGGTTTCCTAAACATCCAATTTTATAGCCTGTGTACCATCCTGGTTAGTTTACAAGTTGCTATCGGATGATCAGTAGTGACTGTGGGAGCAGGCATACACTAACCAGGATGGTACCCAGGCTACCAATTTTTCAGTCATTGGTATATACTAATTTTGTTTCCTTGCAAATGATGCTTCAATGGTCATTGTGTTCTGTGAAGATTTAGTATTGACAATGATTTGATGACAGTAATGAGAAAGTCCATGGGACAGAAGTGAGCGTGGAAACCGTGGATATAAAGGTATCGTGAAAAAAATAGAAAATCACAGTATTTTACCTTCCACTTGTTGGCAAAGGCGACGTGATGTGACTCGATGTCCTTGCTGAGTGTGTAGAAGTCATCAAACTGCTGGTTGTTGAAGTTACCACACAGACCCACCATGGTGCCCATCAGGTCAGGGGTCGCCACCACGTAAACCCTGTTACTGCCGTCCCACAAGATCTTCAGTCCATTGTCAAGGGTCACCTGAAGTAAGGGTGATGAAGTAATGAAATAAAGAGTGTACTCTTTAGAACTAGAAGAAGAGAATCATAATAGTATGATGTTAAAGTTTTTTTCCAACACAAAGATCACAAAGGGATAAAATTTTCAATGACCACTGTTGCCTTCATCAGGATAATTAATGACCAATCGCGTTCCGAACATAAACTTGTGAGAGTTTGGTCATTATGATTAACCAATACAGATGAAATTTCTTTTGTGATAAAAAAAGAAGAAAACTTTAAGACAGGGCATAAGTTTTGTAGTTAAGCTTGGCTACTTGTCTTTTATTCTGGTCACTTGTCTTTTATTCATCCAGATAAATACTGTACAACATCTTTGCTTTACCTAACGTTTTGTAAAAACAGGGCAGGCAGAAGACAAGACTTACCTTCTGGAAGAGTGAAGAAACCCTCTCAACGTAGAATCCTGGGGCAGCATAAGGCAGAGAGGTGATCTCATATCCTCCATTCAGCATCAGGGAGTGGCCTGTGGTCATCTTCAGAGTAGAGCCCTGGACAGCAACAATTGTTCGAAGATTAGTAACTTACATCTACATGTAATTTTCAGGTGGTTACAAATACATGGCATTTTTTGGGGTATAAAAGTACAAAAAAAATATCCTCAATAACAATCTATATTGATTTACTTGCTCGGCTTACATTGACAACAGCTGGGTTTGTCCAACTAGTCATAAACTGTTGTGAGGTGCTAACCCTGGGGAAAACCCTGATTGTTAGTTTATACAGTCATACAATGGACAAAATTTACACTCAGCATATATACATTGAATCAAACAATTGTAAATTTATACAGAATTTTCAAAATTACATTTAAAAAAGGGTTTCCTTGTACTTTGATGCATTTCAAACTTTAAGTTTTGACAAACAGTTAAGGAAAGATGAATGTTTTGTCAAGATTTGCATGACAGGAAAATTGGAGCACAGTAATGAAAAATTAATAGATATTTCTGAAAGTGTCAACAATCATACCTGAGTCTTGATGAGCACAGAACGGTAGCAGAATCCAGAGTTGCAGTCATGGTTCTCCACGATGACATTGTAGGTCTCAGCCAGGCGCATGTCAGGGTTACTCATCAGCAGGGTGTAGCTGCAGTCTCCAGCAAAGTCATACTGCTTCCCATCAAAGGTGGTGTAGTGACGGTATCCAGTGGTGGAGCACACGGCTATCAGGAACAGAGTAATATTTGCATTAATTGGCGATGATACAAGTTGTTACAAAGTCTGCATGAGCATAGGCAGATCAAGCTGGTATACGGCTGACCCACACAAAAAGTACAGACCTACATGTTAATACAAAATGAAAATTAGAATCTAATATATAAAATACAAATCCTGCAGTCCAACATGACTGTTGTTTACCTTTTGTTGCCTGACTAAATGTAACCATGTCGTGTCGTTATATGAAAGTAGATTAGCTTCTTAGAAGAGTTAGAACTGTCACCTCTTAGAGTAGACCTGTTAGGCATTGTTAACATCTACCATCTATGTAATGTAACTTTGCCATATGCTGTACTCATTACAATTGTGTTGCAATAAAGTTCTTCTGTTGTATTGTGAACATCTATGCTGGGCTCCATCGGAAATCAGCTCTTACAAGCTGAATGGGCTACCTAGCCACTTTATGATGAAATAGATATTTATTAAATGAATGATCTCACCTTCACACTGTTCCTCAGTACACCTCCACTTTCCGTTCAGACAGTAGCACTGGTTGCAGTCCTGCTGGATACGCGACCCCGGTGCGTACTCCGTACCACGGTACTGACAGGGGCACTCCTCACGTGGGATGCACTGGTTGTTGTGCAGGAAGGTCCCGCTGGGGCAGTGACAGCCGTCCACACAGTGGTTATCCACACAGTCGTAGGTGTGGGAGTAGCAGGTCTGGGGGCAGGAGCTACCGCAGGGGTCATACACCATGCCATTCTGACAGGTCATACCTGGCAAGGGACAGAGCATTTCAACAATTCATTATGTTGATCACTATAATCTTTGAAAGTTTGACATAAAATGACTGGTAGACCACAGAGAAATTTATTTCTGATATAGAATAAAGCAGCTGAGAGATTAAACTTTCCACATACTAGTATACACAAATGTACAAAAGACGAGAAGAAGACATATCTCATCTCAGCTATTCTGGAATATCACAACAGTCTGGAGGTTAAGCATGCTAACACAGAAGAAGAGATATCTTACAAGAACAGTCAAGAGGTTAAATTTGATGAATATATCTCACCAACTTAAACTTAAACTTCATAAAGATAGAAACTTCATAAAGATAGAGAAGAAGAAATATAACAACTGATACAGAAGAAAAGATACATTGTATCTCTCCACAATAGTTCAGAGCTTTAATTTGATACAGAAGAACAAACATCTTACCACAGCGGTCTGGGGCCCTCCAGGCGATGCTGATACCCTGACGTGTGCACTCGCGGAAGTAAGCCTCCATGGAGTCACACTCCAACGACGTACGGTTAGAAGCACCAAAGCAGATGTCCTCCTTACAAGCCTCAAAGTACGGGTTCGGATCCACCATCTAAGTCAACAGATGCCAAAAAGGGTTATGTTTCTCTAGTATGTATAAGACTTGGGAGTGTGTTGAAGATACCAAATCTTTTTGAGTGCAGTCTTCTCTGTAAGCACATGCATTGTTATGTTACCTTGCCAAGTCTGTATGTATAATTTGATTTGACCTAACAGTGTGTTGAGCACCAAAGGATGCAAGACATTGCACTGGAGGCACGGCAATCCTAGGGGAAAATTTTGAAATCTTTTGAGGGGAAATTGTTACTGGTAGACTAAGCTTACACTAATGGCATTTCTTTCCAAGCCAATTTTTGTCCCTAAGATGACAGATTGGGCAAACTTTTTGTCTGTTGTGAGTAGCAAAATTCTGTCAAATGACAGAAAGACCAACAATGGCTAGAACACTGCTTTGCAAGTTTAACTGTAGATTTACCTCAGTGCAGGCAGTGTTCATGAGATAACTGCAGCCGTTGATGGCAGAGATGGAGCGAGCGTACCTCTCCTCTGTGTTGGACTGACAGTAGGTGTCAGTGGAGGCATCTGGGCAAGAGTCTGTGACCAAGACATGTACAACACCAAGGTTAGGCCAAACATCAGGGAGAATATAAAAGAACACACTACTACAGAGCTATCTCATCATCACCATCATAAGTTATCTAGTAATGGTATGACTTTTTTGTGTCTTCTTATAAAATACTGTATATTGTTCATGATATAGGTGGTGGTGGGCAGTAGAAGTTAGAATGGTAGTAGAACACACTTGTACAGTAAGTACCTACAACTGTATATACTTTTGGAACGTAGCAAATAAAAGTTTATCTAACAAAGCAATTAACCTAACATCAATGGAGTGAAAAAGAGATATGTAGTAAATTGTTATTCAATACACACAGACAAATAATAATGGCCAAAGACTAGCACACTGAGTTATGCTGTACATATAGTGGCAAGAAGAAGTACTCCAGTCCAAAGAAGAAGTGTCTAGTAGTAATCAAACGTAAGCAAGGTGAGGGAAGTGCTGGTTGCGTATAAGAAAATTTTAATATCCTATACTTTAGAAATGTATTTAAGAGTTAACTTTTTAATATATGAATATAGAATAAGAATATTTTCTGACCGGAGAAGCTGTCTGGCATCTTCCAGCTGTTGGCAAACTGTGCAAGGGAGTATGCCACGTTGCCGTGGATGTCAGTGAAGTCATCGGAAGGATCTCTGTTCCAACGACCACACAGACCACAAGTCTTATCAAACAGTGGTTCTGACACCCAAACGAAGATGGCCTCTTCTCCGTCCCACTCAATCTTGAAACCGAGACCGCTTCGGAGCATTACGAATCCCGCAACCTATGAAAATATGTGTTAAATGAATTAATGAATAATAAATGGGCGGACGGACAGATGGAAGGATGGATGGATAGATGGATGGATGGATGGATGAAGAGCTGTTTTTGAACCTGTCTTAATAAAGACTCAACTTCAACCAATATATTGAGATATTCTTGAATGGGTCAAAATGTAGAAAGCATATCCAGGCATTTAGGTCTATGTATAACAGTTCCTAGGGCTAAACACAACATTCTTCTTCTTCTTCCTTTATGCCCACGATCATGAAAATGATCATTCTGGCATACTCTTTTTCACCTGAGTGGAGTGAGAAAAGTGTCTTTGCCAATGGCAAAAGATCAGTGACATAGCAGGATTCAAACCCAGAACCTCTTGGTTCTGAGACCACATTCCAAAGGTTGATTAAAACTAGATCTGTAAACAACAGTGTCCTAAACAATTACTGACCTTCTCGATGACGGTTCCAAACATGTTGGTGGGAATCTTGACCTTGTCCTCGCCGTGATACACCGATGGCCCCTCAGCGTCGTTCCTCATGACCAGCGTCTCCTGTCCCAGGAACACTGTCACGCTACGCTGACACTTGGTCGCAGGCCGGCACTGGCGGTCGTTGTGTACATGGATGCTGTACAGATATGGACAGTTGAATTAGGTATCTGGGTACATTAATGCTCCAGCTACATAATCTAAATAGTTAAATAACCATCAAGATCCTACATTGATATCAAACAACAGATGAATCAATGAGTGAATAAATAAATGATGAAACAAAGGAGGAAAGGAAGGCTGGATAGAAGGAAGGAAGGAAGGAGGGTAGTACCAAAGGGAGGAAGGAAGGAAGAAAGGAAGGAAGGAAGGCAGGAAGGAAGGAAGGAAGGAAGGAAGGAACGAACGAACGAACGAACGAACGAAGTAACGAAGGAACGAAGGAACGAAGGAACGAACGAACAAACGAACGAACGAACGAACGAAGAAACGAACTTAATTCAGGTTGCTTTAAGTGACTGTTGTGAAGTTAGACTTAGCTGATATCTAATTTACCTGAAAGTGAGGTCAAAGCAGTCCTTTGCCAGCACGTAAGAACAGGTGCCCTTGAAGTTGAAGATGCGCCCGTCAAATGTGCGGAAATGGTGCTGTCCCCAGGTTGTACACATGCCAGCCTGTGCCGAGATGTAGGCTGAAGGGGGCATGGCATGCGGGTTACTTCACTGTACCATTAAACTTGTTAAAGACGTTAAAACTGCTAGCTGGTTTCATCGCTTTTTTATAATGCACACACACACACTCATGCACGTAGACACACACAAACAAACAAACACACACACACACGCACGCGCGCGCGCGCACACACGCACGCACACACACACACACACACACACGCACACACACACACACACACGCGCACACACACACACACACACACACATGCACACTGAAAAAAGTTACGATCTTCTATCCTAACATTTACTTAGAGGCTAATCTAGAACAAATGACAATATTTCATAAGGTTTGAACTCTTGATGGGATCAGAGCTCTACCGCCTTGCACATCATTACTCAAACAGTGACACACTATCTATGATCTATCGCTGGTTGATCTATCGGCTTATCTGGCTGTATACTAGTATGTACTAAATTTGAATGTACTTACTCCTGTGCCTTACACCGGCGACCACTGGAGCCATGCTCTTGCCGGGAGTGACCGCAGGCAGCATCTCCGCTGTGGAGAGGTGGGTGTACGTTAGATACATGTCTGGAACTGCGAGATGCTTCAGTAAGCTTCTGTTGTCCTCTCCGGGTTTGAAGAAGCATCGTGAGAAAATCGCGGGAATGCTGACCCGGCTTTGCTCCGTCACTTCCGGGTCTTTGGAAGTTCGCGGGAATTTTTGGAATAGTCCACTATTCCGGACATGACGACTCTTTGTTAAACTCTTTTATCCACGTTCCCTTAAGCAAAATGAATTTCTTACGCTCAAAGTATGATATTTAAGAATGTTATATACTCATGAGGTTGATTTGGGGGAATTAAAACACTCTTAATGTCATAGCTTTAGAAATTGCCAAGTTTCATATTGGAACCCCTACTTATGCAGTGCACTCACCCTACCCAGAACCCTTTGCTCCCAGGAGAATTACCAAGTTCTGACAAACTATTTTTGATGTTGATAAATTTCGACGAAATGTCGATGAAAGCGTTTTTCAACTCACGGATACACTCCGGGAACCCGCCGGCTGGCGACCACTGTCCGGACGTGGAGTCACAGACGTAGGACTGGGAGATGGGCGTGGCGAACTGGTAGCCCTTGCGGCAGGTCGGGAAGCACATCTGCTTGTCGTTGGTGACGTTACACGACAGCATGCCGTTCACCGGGGGATCCGGTGTGGCGCACTCCACCTTACCAGCTGAAGTGGGAAACAGTTTGTTGAAAGAATGAATGAATAAGTGAGTGAGTGAGTGAGTGAGTGAGTGAGTGAGTGAGTGAGTGAGTGAGTGAGTGAGTGAGTGAGTGAGTGAAGGAAGGAATAGGTGAATAAATGAATGCATGAACGAACGAACGAACGAACGAGTGAGTGAATGAATGATTGGGTGAGTAGGTGAATGAGTGAACGAACGAGTGAATGAATGAATGGACGAATGAATGAACGAACGAGTGAATAAATGGACGAATGAGTGAACGAACGAGTGAATGAATGAATGGACGAATGAATGAACGAACGAGTGAATGATTGAATGAATGGATGAATTTATAAATGGATGGATGGATGGATAGATGAGATGGGAAGCAAAAGTACATGAGAACAAAGACAGTTTTCTTGGAGAACGAAAATCTAAATCTTAAACAGAATAGTTATATACTGCCCCTCATGAGCATGAAACCTTGAACTTACAAAACAAATTTTAAGAATCGGTGTGGGATTGCGAAATCAGGACCTAGCGGATTAACGTATTGATTTATACATTTGATGTCTCCGTCTCAAGTGTTTCGATTGCACTTGCGGTACTTGAGTGTCTCCACTTGGGCCGTGAGCAGCCTTATGAAAGCGCCACCTGTTGGCTCTTGAGTCAAGTGCACTATTCTGTGACGTTCATGAAATGAATCCGCAATATCAGATAACAGTTATGAAACGTGACTCTGCGCGCGTTGCTATACGCTGTTCTTCATACATTCGCCACATGAAATAAGCAGTGAACTATAGCATCTACCAGGCTTCGTGAAGCGGCTGGAAAGAGTAGAACTGGCCAAAGATACAGATGATATGCCTGGGGAGTTGGTCCGCACTAAGAGAACAGTTTGCCGCTCTCCCCAGGCATATCCCCGGGTCAATTTTTACTCTTTCCAACCGCCTCCCGAAGCTTGGTAGAGGCTAAAGTGAACTATACAAAACAGATATCAAAATGGTGTCATATAGTGTCCACAGAAATCTGAATCTGTTCGCCCAGTCAGGGGCAGACTATGTGTAATCCGATTTGCCCCATAGCAAGTTGGATGGCACCCAGGCTATGGGCAAACGGCATTTAGTATAAAGACTTGCCATTGGTGCGTTTCAGAAGTGGTAGCCGGAGGAAAGTTAGCGGTACTCACCGATGCATGGTGGGAATGATTCTCCCAGCAACCCTGGCGACCATTTGCCGCTGGCGAACTCACAAACGTACGTGCTGCCCACGGAGTGTCTGGGGAGGAAAATGGAGAAAAATCAGCATATTTTGTCTCATTTGTGTGCGTGTATTCTTTTCATAAGTGAATCTTAATGTCGGAAGAATATGTTAAAGGCATCCAATGCGATTTCAGAGCAGCAAAACTTGAAATATTCTGAATAAGGCAATCTTTATGATATTGACACATATTGCTTTACATTATTAGCACATTTCAATTAGTATTTCATACTTGGGTATTTGGCTGCAGAAACAAGCCCCAATATGTCTTGAGTCTTTTATTATATGGGTGGTACCCTAAAATCAGCCAAGGGCCCTTCCAGTAACAATATTCCGTCAGAATGTTGGGTATTTTTGCTCCATTAGGGTCAATATACATTGGGATACTTTTGATAGTGTGGTTTCAACTCAACTAGATAAATGACTAGAATATTGACTTTGAAAAATCGGGTTTCCCAGCCCTAAATCTGCATTGGATGTCTTTAACTAACACTTAGAGCAACTGGTTACTCTCGTGATTATACAGTTAATAGAAACTGCTGTGGCCTTGTACTGAGTATCCTGGGAGCCAGACTAGACATCGAGTCGTTGGCCAGTTCCCTTCGGTGGCTAAAAGCACTAGGCCCGCATGTCAAAATTACCGGTACGGGGGGAAGTTGAGCTCGAGGAGAAATGCCGGATATCTAGTCTGGCTTCAAGATATGCACTGAGCAAAAACTCGATAAAACAAAAGAAATGAAAATCGGTATCAAAACGAAATGACACAACTGTTCTCCAGAAAACGTTCTAATCATCCCAATTTGAACATGGACGGCTGGCCTAAGCGTTTTCTTTCCTTTCACACTTCGAGATCATATTTCTTCCCCTGTGTAATCATATCCCAGTAAGCTAGCTGTATCATTTTTTTCTAATTAAACATCCATTTTTTTTTGCTTCACTAAAGTTGACTTATTACGCAAAACTGCCTTAGTACATGCAATCTGGTCCTTCCATAATCTTGTTTTTCATAACTAGAATTTTCTAGAAATCTAGGTCGATACTGTTTGTCAAACAAATCAATTAAAATCGATGGGTAACCAAGACAACCGCCAAAGTTTACCATTTTCATTATCTGACAACCTTTTGTGTTGATTTAGAGTTTGGGATCGATATATCAGGAGTGCCCTTACCCTGTTTTCATAAAACACTTCAATTACACTTCAGTGAACGGCTATTGTTACAGAATCATTCTTTTGGTTCCACCCGAGAGGACCAAGTTCCGTGATAGCTTGGTTCAATGGTTCTCCATTGCCCACCAGCAGGACTAAGTTGTTTTGAGATAATACTTTGTTGTAGCCGCCAGTTGTGTAAGGCTGACGTGCGCATGGGTTGATGTGTTGACAACCAAATTAGGTAATGCCAATTTGATAACAGTCAACCTGTCCAAGCCAGCCACCCAGGGGACCGAAGAAGAGAGGTCACCTTGGACAGGTGGTCTCCTTGAAGAGGGTCGCCTCGCAACATGACTGAGACATAACTGGTTTCCAAGTCCAGATGTTTTAATGTCAAATGCTGCACGCATCTTCAGTTCTGTGGTGAATGCATGTGGGGAGGATGGCACATGGAACAATTTACGTCGAACAAAAAAATTAGCCAGCAGTTAAATTTTTCTTGGGGGGAGGGGGCGGATGAAAATTCATGCACGCGCGGATGTCATCCGTATAATCAAATCAACATGGCCTTAACACAAACGCAGTGATGTTCTCTGTGGGTAGCCGTCAGCGATCATACGGATTATACATTCGGATTTTGTAACACTGGTGACGTCTTTAATGGATGGCTTACACAACCTCCGTGTTATGAAACAGATTATCACAGCCTCCTACATAGAGGGATGTTTTGGCTTATCATATGTGATGCACTCTGATTAATATTGCTTATCTGATTTGATTACGTCCGCTTTCTGACAGTCATCCAGTCTGAAATTTGTCCATGGAATACTGATCATACTCGTAAGTCCCTCCTCTTGCGCAATCTGTATCTGCCTAGCCGGTATAACCGCCCTTCGGCGTAACACACCAGCTTCGCAGGCATACGGCGCGGCTTGTTACACCGAACGACGTGTTACACCTAGCCTTTGAACATCTAAACCTAAACGTTGCTTAAAGCTATCTAGTTTGGATACCCCCACTGTACTTGGTGACAGTGAGTTCCACTCTACGATAGTAGTAAAGTAAAATTGGTTGATAACATCGGTACTTGAAGGCATGGCTATTTCTTGTTCTTTTCTGAGCTGGTATTAGGTACTTGGTAGTTGGTACACCCACCAGTTTATTAGTCATTTTGTACATCATAGTCTGGATTCCAATCCAGTTACGTATGTTCTAAAACGCATCTCTTCTACTCACAGGGAAATGTTTTGCTGTGTACGCACCTAAACCCAGCCCCACAGTTGATGATGCAGATCTTGTACCAGTTTATTAGTCATTTTGTACATTATGCATAGTCTGGATTCCAATCCATTTACGTATATGTTCTACAACACATCTCTTTTACTCAGAGAGAAATATTTTGCTGCGTACGCACCTAAACCCTGGCTCACAGTTGATGGTGCACATCTTGTACCCGTTGGCACTGTCACAATGCACCGTACCATGGTCTAGGGG